GGATTGGTCCCCTGCCTCCCCCCACCCCATAACCTGCTCCATAAGAAGGAATCTCCTTCTGATTTCCTTACATTCCTGAGGAATTGATCGGTGGAAGCTAATATTAAAATAAGTTCAGGTGGGTAGCCGTGTTGGTCTGAAGTCTTTAAAGTGCCACTGGGCTAAAGTATATTGTAGTTTTAATGCAAACTCTGAGCCCATTTGTGATCTAAGAGTGTAGAAACCTTCCTAGAGACCTACAGCTTGATGACTTGCCTGCTTATTTTCAGTAGGTGAAGTTCAGCTTTGTCCATCTCCTCCTTTCTCCAGCCTCACGTGGCCCCTCTTGCTCAGTCCTCTTCCGTCTCATTCTCGTCTGCTGCCATCCATCCTTTCGTGTGTGTGTGTCCCCAGCTTCCTGTGTCTCAAGCCCAGACTCCTTCCCCTTGATTAGTTTGTGAATAGGCTGTGCTTGCTAGTGCGACAAAAAATCCCAGAGATTTTGAAGCCAAGGGAAAACCCATTTTTAGAAGAAAAACAAATTTGGAGAAGACTGAAATATATGCAGTACTTACTTTCCTATCAAACCTAAATTTATCTTGTTGTGCAACAACATAAGATAAAGCTCATCTTAAAGCATTTTGCTCAATTCCAAAGAGGGAAAATATTTCATAGGAGGGTTGGGGAGGGGGCAGACCTTCCCAAGCCCAGACCCGGATAGTCCAGACTCCAGGCTAGTCCAGTCTTGTCAGATCTTAGAAGCTAAACAGGGTTGGCCCTGGTCAGTTTTTGGATGGAAAACCACCAAGGGATACCAGGGTCACAACACGGAGGCAGGTAATGGCAAACCGCCTCTGAACATCCCTTGCCCTGAAAACCCCATGAGGGGTTGCCGTAAGTCAGCTGTGACTTGACTGCAAAAGAAGACTTCCCCATCTCTTTTTCTCACAGATAGCCAACTCGTACGTTTCAGGTGACAGTCTCCTCATCTCGGGCCTAAAGCAGAGAGCCATGTGGATGCCTGAGACGACCTCTTAGTTCTTAGCGAAGACAAGTGCATCTCTTTTCTTAAAGTGTACTTCCATAAGGATTAAATACGGTGCTCTTGTGAAAGTTGGAATTTTGAGGAGTCTGATGAATGAATGAATGAATCACATGGAGGGAGTATCAGTGCACTAAACGAACCCCTGGTTTCCTGAGCAGTGTGGCAGGCCCTTGCTTGGGGGCAAGAGCTCATCAGGAAACGCAGGGCACGGGGGAGCATTTTGGGTGCCCTTCTGGTTCCCTTTCCTGGGTTATCTGACAGGGGTCTGTCTTGTCCTCAGGCGAAGGTGACTGAAGAGTGCTCTCAGTACGAGTTTGAGAACTACATGAGGCAGCAGCTGATGCTGGCCGAGGAGAAGAACACGCTCCACGAGGCCAAGAGCTTCCTCCAAAAGCGGCAGTTCGGGAACATCCCGCCGGTGCGCCGCCTGGGCCACGATGCTCAGCCCATGAATCCCCTGGACGCAGCCATCCTGGCGCAGCGTTATCTGCGGAAGTAGCTCCTCAGCCACACAAGGGTCGTCCGCCACCCACCTGACGCAGCGCGACAGCCGTGTGCTGGGGAATCACCAATAATGTAGCAAGTCTTCCTCTGCTTTCCGAGCACTGGCAGGGCGAGGGCGAAAGCCGTCTGGGAGGGGACGGCCAACTCGGACTTTGAGTCGAGGCCTAGACGGCTAATCTGTTTTTTAAACGTGACTCTGAAATCTACCTCTGTCTTTTTTTAACCACACTGTTCTCTGGACTGAACTGGAGCGTGTTTTGGCAAAGGGCGTCAGAGTGGGCTTCTTTTCTGACGCGAACATTGGACTGCAGAGAGCATGTGGGGTTGCGTCTCTGCTCCATATGGTTTGAATAAGCTTAATCGTTCCCCCCCCCCTTTCCTCCCTCTGGGTTTCATGAAAGTTAACTATTTCTTAGAAACCTCCCCCCCCCCGTCCTCCTCTTCCTAATTGTTCTGTTTTTGATTTAACGCCTGGTTTGAATATACTTTTCTGTAAACGTTGGTTTCAGAGCCCTGTGTGAGCACAAACTTGGCCAACTAGTCATCTTTACAGCAACCTTGCCGGGGAGGAAGCATTGCATGTGACTTCTGCCCCAGGTAGGAGAGCTTCACCCCCAGGGCTGTCCAGTTCTTCTTTTTCTGGAGCACCTCCCCTTTTCCAGCCACTTAATTCTTTTATGTGCGTCCTGGGACTTCTGACTTTGTGTTGGGATCGGGTTTGCTTTCCCCCCTCTAATCAATAGCTTATGGAAGGTGCAGTTAACATTGCATTAATTCTGCTGCTGCCTGCCACAGTGGTATGGCTGAAGGGGTAAATCTATGATAATGTGAAAAGTTTTCTCCGTCTTCCCTTCCCTTCCTCCCCCCCTCCCCGCCTCGTATATGTCTTGAATTCAGAGAGGCCAGCTGTTCTCTGCTGCTTGTGTGATGCTCTTTCTTGCCATTGTTGCCTTGTCAGGGCACTTCCCTGTTGGCACTCTTCAAGGGGGGAAACACTCCCCAGCAGCCTTGCACCTGGCAGATTACACAGAGAACCGGCCTGCTCCCTTTTCAGTCTCATTCTGGGAACTGGATGCCTCTCTTGCCAGTTAAGCTGCTTGCAGGCAACTCTCTTTGGCCTGCACTGCACCAGTCTCTTCCCCCCCCCGCCCCCACCCAACTTAGGTCTGATTTAAAGATGATGCAGACAAGGCCCAAGTACCCCCCTGGTGGACTTTGCACAGGCCCAGCATCTTGTTTGCAGTGGGCTGCGACCCTTGCAGAGTAGCAGTGCCCACTAGTAGCCTAGTCCAAACGAGGCTGCACTGCGGGGGGGGGGGGCGCTTCTGCCTTGCCTTGTGCACGCCGCCTTTAAACCCAGCCATTGCACCCTCTAACCCTTTTTTTTCTTTTGCACCTGGCCATGGTGTGCGATCCCTACAGGGACAGAGTCGCAAAAGCAGTTGTGCTACCCGGTGGTACAAAGTGGTTGGTTACAAAACTAGAAGGACTTGTTGGGTCCCACTCTAGCCTGGACGGCCCAGGTTAGCCTGATCCCCTCAGATCTCAGAAGCTAAGCAGGGTCGGCCCTGGTCAGACAAGAAAGTTCTTGGCGAGGAGCTGTCTGGGGCTAGACTCCGCAGCATTAAACTTTGGCAGCAGGAGAGGTCTGAGTTGTGTTCTGAATGGCTTCAGCATGCAGGAATGTTTTCTTTCTTACATGAACCACAAAAGAAATTCAAAAGCTGAGTCTTGGAGACCTTGTAATAAAAACCTGCCAGGTTCTAAGGTGTTGTATGATGAGCTGCTTCTGCCGCTGCCTTCCGTGCCATCAGGGGCTAAGAGGGAGGCTGCCTGGGCCAGTCTCTGGCTTCTGCTGCCCTGGCCACAACGCCCGTTCAGAGTTGCGTCTTTTGTTGCTGGGCTTTTGGGAGGCTCTGGGCTAGGCTGAGTCCGGGAGGCCCCAGCCTCCAGTAGCGTGTTGGCATGTACATTTGGCTATAGTTGCATTGCTTGGGAAGCATTAGGCATCAAGCACTTTCTTCATTTTTAAAAATCCAGCTTGGGATGAAACCAGGATCAAAGAGCATTAAAACCTTGTCCTGGTGGTGAGTGTGGGGAGAAGGAGCAGCAGCCTTGGCCATCATCTCCCAGGTCACAGAGCCCTGCTTTAGGACTGACTTTCCCCTGCTGCATCCAGGACCTTGGGGTCTTGATGGTTTGCACTCTGTCACTGTCCCTTGGGGTACCGGAATACCCCCTCCCAAAGTGCAGTGGGGTACCCGTAGTCCCACCCAAGAGTGAGCTGCATATCAGCACACTTTGCCACCTGGACCATGTATTAAGAGCCTGATATTAAATGGGCCCAGCTTGTTCTAAGCCCACCTCCAGAAGGAGCTTTGGGGGTATCTCCACAGGGAGCTCCACCCCTTCCTGCTCCTAGTTCTGGAACTTACCCAAGACCTTACCAGGCTCGGTCCTGGCGGTGCTGCCCAAGGGGGGGGGGGTCAGGTTACTGTGGCTGCTGAGGAGGGGTGGGGCAGCTCTGGCTGCAAGGCTCGCTTCTCCCGTCTTTTAGTGGAAGTAGCAAGAGCTGGATTCAAAGTCCAGTAGCACCTTGGAGACTAACAAGGTTTTCAGGGTATACTCTTTCAGGAGTCAAAAGATATCTCACCAAGGGAGCTTTGCCTCTCAAAAGCTGATACCCCAAAAATCTTGTTCATCTCTTAAGGAGCTACTGCACTCTAACATAGCTAGTCTCCTGGAACTATCTTCATGGAATTAGGAAGACTCTGCTCAGATTCCTAGGCCTTTGAACGGGCTCTTTCGCCCCTTCCATTGAGAAATCTCATGAATTCAGGTTCTCACTTTCCCCAATGGACTCCCCCCCCCCCGGCATGACAGCCTACATTTCCTCACCCTCTATTTAACTTTTTCCTTCCCTAATGTAGCTGACTGTATTTGTCTTGCTCTTCCCAGTTCCTCAAAAGATAGCAATACTTCATAGACTGTGCAAAGCTGAGTGATCTGCCCATCTTTGGCATTGTCATTGTCATAAAAAGCAAACTGGAAAAAGATGGAAAGGAATGGAGGGGGGAGGCATGCAGCGGCATGGAAAATCAGTGTGAGCTATGGGGTTTTGTTTTGGTGGATTACTGGTTAGATGACAGACCGGAGACAAAGATCCTATTGTAAAAAAATTGCAAAGAGAATTTGTACAGAGACCTATTTTTGTATTACATCCAACTATTCCTGCATGTCAGCAATAAAGTTTCATAATGTAGAATTAAATCCGTGTTGTGTCAAAGTGGGAACTGGCTTCTTTTTGTGCCACGGTTGCTTGAGAGTGTGGAAAGCTGCAGAATTTGCCTTCTAGAGCGTTCCTGCGTACTGTTGAAAGGAAGGTTTGTGTCAGGTAGGCCATCTCTGCTTTTTTCTAGAACTGTAACTTAAGCCATGGTCTCAGTATGAGACTGGATGTGTATTAATGGGAAAGGTGTTTGTCCAGGAATACTGTAGTGTGTGGGTGGGGGAAGTTCTGTAGATGCTATTAAATTGTGGCATTCACAGCCAGTAGGCTGCCATTGATACCCATGAACTTTAAAAGGGGGTTAGACAGACCTGCAGTCACTGAAGGGAACCTCCGTCTACAGCGGCAGCAAACCTGTGAATACCATTGCTAACCAGGAAACAGCCTGGGGGCGTGGCCTCCGGGGAACTTGTTGCCACTAGTATAGTATATGTGCTGCCGAAGCGAGCACACTTGTTGCCACTATGTGAAACGGTACTGAATTAAATGGATCATTGGTCCAGCTGGGTTGCTGGGGGGGGGGGTGTTGCCAGATCCAGGTTGGGAAGTTCCTGGAGATTTGGGGATGGGGCCTGGGGAACTGATCCCTGTAGCCTGGATATGAGCTGTAATTTTGGGGGCTCCCCAGGTCCCAACTGGAGGCTGGCATCCCTAGCACAAGAGAGTCGAATATGCAAATGCTGGCAGTACGACCGACCTCCTTGGCTGTGTCCTTGTCAACAATCCCTTTCGAAAGAATTTCCCTGTTGCTTGGGAGGCTTAGACGTACGGTGTTAACTTAGAACTGGGCATCCTCTTGCAATGATTGCCTATTGTCCCACCCTGACCTCAGGAAGGGGCGCTGGACGAAGCCGCCCGGAGAAGGCCGAGACTACTTTGCAAGGTTTGCGGGCGGCCCAGTTCACGCAAGACGTTCGGCCGAGCGCAAAGTCCCTCGGCTAAATGTACGCGTTCACCGGGGAGGGAGGGGGCGGAAGCCCTGCCAGGAGGAGGAGAGTCGCGGCCGGCTCCGCGGGAGGGGGCGCTGCAGCACAACGGAAACATCCTCCAAGGTGGAGTGCGGTAGCCATGTTTATGCACAAGGGGGCGACCGCGGGCCCACACTTACTCGAGTCCGGACCGGGGCCTCTGTCACCACCTCTGTCCGGGTGGAGAGGGGAGTCTGAACGCGCGTGCGTAATACACTCTGACGGCAGCCCCTGGCGTTTCTGCTGTTCGGGGGAACCACAAGCTGAGAGCTGAATGCGCCCGGCCGGCGGAGCACCAGTATTCCGGCAGAGAAGTAGGGAGGGAGCTTCGGCCCCACTTGCAAGGCGGGCCTTGACAGCAAGCGGGGGTGGCTGGAAGCCACACAACGATGGAGAACGGGACCAGGCCCCTACAGTTACAGATGTGACGCTAATAAGGCAAGAAGACTTCTCCTTGGGGCTGTGCGCTCACACGTGCATAGCAGTTCCGAGTACTTCTTTCCCAGGACGGCGGGCGGAAGTCCTTGCAACTGTTGTGGGGATGCGCGAACACCCTGCACGTTCAGCCGCTCCTGTGCCGAGTGCAATTGAAACAGCTCCGCCCCAGAGCGAAGTCGCACTGCCCCACCGGCAGCATGTTGGAATGAGCCTGCTTGCTTGAGGCTGCCGAGGCAAACGCTCTCTTCTGGGCGCCCGCCCAGTGTCTCGCCAATAAGATGGGTTGTCCCCCCCACCCCGGTGCAAATGGCAAGGGTCGCCGGGCTGATTTGTGTCTTCGCAGAGTACAACCAGTTTGTGGCGCTTTACCGCCTAACATTGATTTCGGTTTGAGAGGGTAGCCTAGCCGTGTTGATCCGCGGTGGAACAGTAAAAAAAGTAAACAGGTAAAAACAGTGGAACCTGAGTTTATTCACAAGTTCAGGACACACACACACACACCGCTGAATAGGGACATAGGAGTCTTATCTCACTGCAAATGCATCTTTCCCCTCTGCTCTAACCAGGCTGATTACAAACACACGTTGTACCTTTGCATTCTTTACAAGCTTTCTTTACAGCACTCCCCCCACCTTCTGACTGGGATAAAAAGATCTCCATTCCTACTCATTTCTGACAAATGGAGTTTTGCCTCTCCAAAGCCGATAGATATCCTGAAAATCTTGTTGGTCTCTAAAGTCCTACTGGACTCAAATCTGATTTATTTCAGTCTAAGTTTCTATAAGTCACAGCCCGCTTCACAAAAGCTCATGTTGAAACAAATATTAAGTCTTTAAGGTGCCACGTGATTTTGGTTTTATTTTACCCATGTAAACCCCCCCCCCCTAGAATGCTTTTTCTCAACCAGGGTGTAAATCTTGCCCACCCTCCCCTGAAGCCAGTGGCCTTGCTCCACTCTCTATTTAGCGTTGCCAGCCTCCAGGTGGGGCCTGGAGATCTCACAGAATTACAGCTGATTTCCAGACGTTCGCCTGGAGAAAAGGGCAACTTTGGAGGGTGGAGTCTATGGCATTCCAGCCTGCTGAGGTCCCTCCCCTCTCCAAACCCTGCCTTCACTAGGCTCCACACTCCAAAACTCCAGAAATTTCCAGACCCAGATTTGGCAACCCGAGAACTTCCACAGATAACACAAACGAGCCATGCTTCTTCCCCCCTCTCCAGGCAGATGTCGCCACCCCAGATTCCAGATGGGATTTTCCCTCCCTCCCTCTCTTGAGGAATTTAAGATGACTGTAGTAGAAAAAAGGAAGATATTTTTGACATTCCTGTTCTCGACCAGGTCCCTGAATATGCCAGCTCAGCACTGAACCCACAAGATGGGGTGGGCCAGAATTCAGGAGCATCGGAAGTAGATGTGCTCTGCTCCCCAAATCTTGCAGGCGGTGCGTGGGGGGAAGGGGGGGCTCTGACCCACCAGCCCCCTGGAATCCATTTCCTGTTGCTCAGCAGCTGTAATGGGAACCAGACCCAGCTTGGCTTCTCCCGCGCAGGCAAGAGGACAAAACGGGGGGGGGGGTGGTTCTGCAGGGGAAGCGCTTTGTCTTGGCCTCCCAGAGACCTCAGGGGGGCTGTGAGTTGCTTGGCTCCAGTCCTTGGGTGAGTACAAGTGGAAGGGGGACCATTTTCCTCTTCTCCCTATACGGGCCTTGAGGTGGGGTATCCAGAGAAATGGAAACGTTTCCTGTATTTTATGGGAGTTTGGCACCGTTTTGCACAAAAAAAGGATAGCGGCTTGGTTCTGATCTCCTGCGGGTTCTCTGTAGACCCCACTGTCCTTGCATGGACTCCCGCGGGCATTTTCCGCCTTCACAGGCATTTTCCACTGCCTGCCTGCCTGCTTGCAGGGTTTTCTTACCTGCATGCTGGGGCTGGGTCACACTCTGTTGGAAACCTGTTTACCCTTTATCTCAGTGCTGTAGCAGTCTGCTGTGGCAAGGAGAAGGCACTCTGCACGTGCTCAAAGGCACATTCTTCACTCTGCATGTGCTCAAAGGCACATTGTTTATTATTCACTTCCCTCCTTTTGTGGAGGACAAGTCTATCAACAGCTACTAGCTATGAGCCTGAGGGGAACCTCCACGTTCAGAGGCACTAAACCTCTGAATCCCAGAGCTAGGAGGTGACATCGGGAAGGCCTCGGCCTCCATGCCCTGTTGCTGGCCCTCCAGAGGAACTGGTTGGCCACTGGGTGAGACGTGCTGGACTAGATGAGCCTCCGGTCTGATCCAGCAGGGCTCTTCTTAAGTTCTTATACCCCAAAGGGGAAGGCACGCTGTTGAAAAGAGATTTCAGTGTAGCTGGATATTAAGCGAAGCCCTTGCTTCTCAGGCATTGGTCAGGCCTGACCTGACTTGGCGGTGTGCTGAGGCCGTATTCAGTGCCAGAATTCCTCCAATTAAAAACAGGGGCCAGTCTCTTTCGCCAGGCTTTCAGGGCCTCCAGGCCAGGTCCACATGCCTCAGATGCTGGCGATGGAAGCGCAGCCAAGCTGGCCCATCTCCAAGTACGTGCTCCTGTGGACAGATGCAAGATACAGACTGGAACCTTGGGGGTGGTCCCTCGGGCAGGAGGACCTGCTGCTAAGGGAATCTGTGCTTGTCAGGCATGAACACTACCTAGAGATGGCCTTCAGTGGTACAAATCGAGGGACTTGAAGAGGCCTCCTGTGACCTAGTTGGCCTGGGCTAGCCTGATCTTATCAAATCTCAGAAGCTAAGCAGAATCGGTCCTGGTTATTACTTGGATGGGAGACCACCAAGGAAGTCCAGGGTTGCTATGCAGAGGCAGGCAATGGCAAACCACCACCCCTTGTCTTGAAATCCTACAAGGCAGTTGTAAGTTAGCAGCGATTTGACTTTGCTGGGGCCCAGTCAGAACAAGCTTTCTGTTTTGGTTGCCTGTTTCTGGTCCAGAGCCCACAGCGCAGGGAGGGCAAAACACTTCCCTACCGCGCACTGAGAAGAGGTCCCTGCCTTGAGAGGAGTCCAGTGGGGGAGGTGAGGCATGTGAGCCAGTGGCACTGGAGTGGCTTGGACCCACATCCCCGCAGAGTCCTTTTGCTTACAGCCACTCCCATTAGAGTTTCCAGCACAAAGTGTGACCTGCTCAGCTCCAGGGGCTTTAGTAGCAGTCTGATTTGCAGGGGGATGTGGAATGGTATGATCTCGGAAGCTAAGCAGAGTCAATACTTGGATGGGAGGCCACTGAGGAAGGCTCTGCAGAGGAAGATAAAAAGTCCCTTGCTGGGGTCACCATAAGTCGGCTGCGACTTGACAGCACATATGTAATTTGCAGGAATCAGCAGGTGATCCTTTTCCCAGCATGGAGCTTAGAGCATTACAGGTGGGTGGTGCTCTTTCTATGCTGCAAGCATGTGGCTCTCTGGGAAGTTTTTAGCTCCTTGCATTCTGCGTGCCAGGTGCCATGTCCCATGTCTTGCTTGCACCACGCTGTGGGGTCAGGGCCTTCAGTGGGGCTTCTGGCTCCAGACCTGAGCAGTGGGGTGTTGTTGTTGGGTGCAAGGCAGGGAGATGTTTTTGTCTCCTCTCTCTCTCTTCCTCTCTCTCTGGTAAAAACTGGGGCTGTATACCCCACACTCAGAATATTCTGAGCTGTGAAAGTACATATCCCCTCCTCTTCCTCCTCCTCCTCTGTCTCCTTCTCTTCTTTATTTGCCTGCAACCAGCCCTCATTATTCTATGCCTCAAGACTCATTTTGGGGAGTCATTCCCCCCATTTCTTAATTCACAAAGTTATATTTTGTCTGTCCCCCTGAGCCTGCAGAAACTCCCTCCCTCGTCTATGGGATTTGGTGCCCACGGAGAGGCATTCAGCCATCAGGTTAGCACACTGTCAGCTAATTTTGTGGGTCAGGCAACTGTTAAGGAAATCACAGCTTTGGTCCTGAGGGATCCTCTGTCCATTTCTCAGAGGATGGAAGGGCAGGACGATCTAAGTGTTTTTATTAAATAATATAATACACACAAATTGGCAAGCCCGGCCAATCTGAGCCTCCATTGCTCTTTCGCTGTACTTCAAGCCTCTTTACTTTGACTTAATAATTAACCAAGTTTTGGAGCCCATCCAGGGCTGGGAAGGCAAGAATGTGAGTTTTAGCTGGACTTTTTACAGGCGCTGCACAGTTGAAGGGAGGGAGACAAGGATCCCTTCAAATCAGGGCCTGCTGAAGGTGAGTTCACCTGATCTTTGGACCTCGTAGATTTTCCATCAGGGGGGCTCAGCATAGGCCAGGGTCCCTCCATCACCCATCCACACTGGAGGCTTGAGCACTTGTTTGTAGGAATGAACCCCAAACTCATGCCTGGCCTCCTGGTCCACATGAACAGAACTCCCTGGTGAGCCCATCATCCCTTTCTTTGTTCTGCAGCTATAGGCAGGGCTGCTCCTCCAGAAGGGAGCTGTCCTAGTGGTGGAGATCCATGACTTCAGTCCATCCGATCCCTTCCCCTTCCCTGTCAGCAAGGAAGGGCCCAGTGTCTCCCCCCCCCCCTTCCCCACCACCTCCTGGCCAGTGGCTGAACGTTCCTCTCTCTGCTGAGCAGCCAGACTCTTGCCAAGAGCCTGGAGGGGACCTGCCCTTGCTGCAGTCTCGGCCTGGCCTGGCTCATCTCTGCTGATGTGTCACATTTTTTGCATTTCTCCCATCACCCGCTTCTGTCCCTCCGGATATTGGGGGGGGGGGGGAAGCAAGTTCTGGCTGCCCTTGCGTCCACTCCCCCACTTCAGCTGAGCAGTCGGCCATTGCGCTCCCTCCCTCCCTCCCTCCCTGGAAAGCTGCAGCAGCCAAACTGCAGCAAGAGAACACAAATGTGCCTCAGCTGCAAAGCAAGTATGTGGCCTTTGTGAGGCCCAGGTCAGGAGCGGAGGATGCCTTTGGGTGACCGAAGGCGACCCTCTCTTTTCCAGTCTTGCATTCCACACTGGGAGAGTTTAGTGCCTAAAAGAAGTGGCACTGAAACTCTTGGCTCCAGAGGTGTGAAAGGTTGTAGGGAAATGTACTCTGCACATGCTCAGAAGCACTGGCTTGGAACTGAACACCCATTAATATCAGCTCCGTCTGCAGGGCCCAGAACACATGGAGGATTCTGAGGGGGAGGCTCTTCGCTAGAGAGGCCAGGGCTTAGGCTGTTCTCCCCTGGACCTATTTAATACACAGTGTCTGTTTTGCTAACAGACAGGTTTCCCCTCCCCCACAACTAATACCTGTTTGATGTCTCCAGCAGCATGCCTGCCGGAGACCCGTTGATCAGGCTCTTGAGAAGAGGTGACCTGTGACACATGCCCCCTCCCGTTGCCCAGGAAGCACTGGGTTGGAGAGGGGGCACTGAAGTGCCGGAGTCTTCCTTCTGACCCGTCTGAAGTTATGCTTTATCATCTGGCTGTCCAGAAATGACAGCTTTCAGGGACCTCGGTTTGGAAAACATACCAGGGCAAAGAGGCCCACTTGCGGTGTCCTGAGGGGCTGGGTTTTGGGAGCTGTTTGTGACATTCTGGGCAGCAACAGCAGGAAAGGCCAATTTTTGCAAAACCCTCCCTTGCAGGGTGTGCCAGCCACCAGATTCCAGGGGAAGGGAAATGACCACAAGGCTGGCATTCAGTCCTGCTGGGCTGATCTAAATTTACTATGTAATGCCCCACAAGGTTCCGTTTTTGAAAGCAGGATGCAATTTGGCATTTGGCTGTAGGAACAGGGCACCACTTCGGTCACGGTGCACTAAGATGTCGGCCTGGAACCTTTTCTTTATTTACTCCGATGGGGACCTAAAGCGGCTTACCTCTTTCTCCTCTCCTGTGCTTTATGCTCACAACAACCCTGTGAGGTGGTTAGGCCAAGAGTATTTGACTGGCCCAAGGTCACCCAGCAAGCTCCTATGGCATAAGTGGGGATTCAGAGACCTGGATTTCCCAGATCCCTAGTCTGGGACACTGTCACCCCACGCTGGCTGTCCTCCACCTCAGTCTTGGAGGGTAAGAAGTCGTACTAGGGTGCCTTTGAACATGGGCAGAGTGTCCCTGATCACTGAAATAACCTGCAGCTGTCACACAGCAGCAGATCCGGCAGTGTGACCTGGATGTCCAATGAGATCCAGCACCACTCTTTGCACCCAATGGAGCGTAGGGCCAGATATTAAGAGGCCAAAACGAGGGGTTTTTTTTAATCTCTGCTGACTGTACAAACATTCCCAGTGGGTCTCTGTGCCAGCCTCTAGGGAAATTCAGGCTAAAAGGGAGTCTTTTATGCAAACCACCCTCATTCCCAGGGACTGCGGTTCCCTTAAACAAACACCAAATGTCCAGAAAGAACATTGGGGGGGGGGGGGACTTCCAAATTGCCACCTTCCAAAAGTACCACCTGTGTTCCTCTTTGCCTTTGGCCCTCCGCCCAGGAGTCTAGAACCCAGAGAAACAGCAGGCCTTCTCTTCTTCTGCACACACTCACTGGCGGCTTCCTGCTTGGCGGGAGGCGGCGGCTTTGCAGTCCAAAGGGAGCCAGCCTGGTCCTCCCTTTTATTTACTGTGCGCTTCCAGCTGCAAGGAAGTGAGCAGCAGTTTCCACTGGCAGCTCCCTCCCGACTCAAGGGGCTCCTCTGGAAAGCGAGTTCTTCGCTCAGCCCCCCTGTCAGAGCCCCCGTGCTTCTGCCAGAGGCTGGGAATGGAGAGAGCACAGCTCTGGTAACGGTTCGCCGGCACTGCTCCAGGTAAGCTCATGGGTTGGGGGGGGGGGGGGGGGCTGGGGGTTTTTTTTAGTGACTGGTGCTGTTTATTCCTCTTCCAGGAAGGGGGCATTTGGGGCGCTGCAGCTTAGCTGTGGGGCTGTGTACCACTGTCACTGTGCCGGACCCCCAGGAAATCTTGGTTCATTTTTGGGAAAGGATAGGTAATCTTAATGCTTCCGTGGGGCAGGCACCAGCAGGGATGTCTGGAAGTCAGTTACTGGGAAAAGAAAAGCCTGCACGTGCTCAGAGGCACACTGGCCATGAGCCCAGGCTCCAGTTAAGCCCCCAGCAAGAGCTTAATGGCATTTTTTTTGAACTAGAGGGAAACGGAAATCAGTGAAAGGAAGAAAAGAAGTAATTTTGAAGGGGCTTTAAAGGGGCTTCTCCAGACCATTCTAACTTCACCCAACTTGAGGGCGTGTCCACCGGAGTCCCTTCTAAAGTGTCAAGAAACCCAAAGGTGACTGCCTCTTTTTGGAATTTTGATGTTTTGTAGGGTATGGAAACAAAAATCCACAGTTGAAACTTTTAAAATGTCATCTCATGAGCACCAAACAGTCTGTTCGGGTTGCTTCTTGATAATAGGGTAGATCTGGGGATTTGGTGGGATTTAAGCTGTTTCGTAAGGAAGTTCCAAGGATGCAGTGGGTGTGAGGGGTGCACTCTGTGCATGTTCAGAGTCATTCTTGCCTTTATTATAACTTAGCACATCCTGAATTCCTTATTGCACGTCCTGCCACTAAAAACAGGCTTGTGGACTAATAATTCTGGCTTCCACTGGATCCCCTCCCACCCCAGTTCCTGCACTCTGGGCTTTCCTATAGCAATGGGCCAAATAACCAATAGCCAGCCAAAGCCAGCGGTTGGCAATTCTGCCAAGGAGGCTGACTCTCATTCTACCCCTTTCCTGGTTCATCCTACACAGCTGGACCAAACCGGAGAGGTTTCCGGCTTCAAGCCTCCGGCTCAGATGGACTTATCAGCACAGCAGTTCTAGTGGTGCCTGGAGAGGGGTGGGGGGTGGGGTATGGCCTCGATTTGCTGGGTCATCTGCAACTGCTTTTTATTTGAAATTCCCCTTTCTCTTCTTTTTTTTAACCCCTTCCCTCTCCCCGCTCCCCTTCCATATCTAGGCGAATGTTCTGGAAGTACCATATTTTAGGGGGAATCTCTGAGACATCTTTTAAACCGTAGGCAAAAGACGGGCAGTGTGTATCTTCAGCCCAGTGAACAAACAGGCAGACTCAGAAAGGGCTCAGTCAAAATGGGTCGGTTTTGATTAGCACCTTTGGGCAGGGCTGCACAGTTGGAGCCCCCTCCCCAGAAAAGGACGTTTTATCCTATATATTATCCTGCTTCCTTTTGAACAAACAAGGCAAGTAAGAGCATGAACACCAGTTGATGAGAAGAAGCATCTGTGCTTCATCCTCTGGGCTCAAACACCTCCCGGTTTTATGCAGCTTCACAAATATTTTTGCAGGCGATTTTTTAAAAAAATAATCTTTCCCCTTCCTTTTCTGCAATAGTGCTAGGCATTAATGGGTGCAGAGGAGTATGTGTTTAAATGAAATACCACAGGCAAAGGAGAGCAACAAGCCATTGCAGAGATAATAACCTTTGTACCTTCCTGCCAGATGTTTCTGTGTGTGTGTGCCCCTGGGCTAGGGGCTGTTGGGGACAGTGATGAAGTACCCACTGCATCTCCTGGGTAGTGAGTGGCAAAGGGATAGAGGGATTCCTCCCACTCCCTCTGGCAATGACTCCCACACCCCTGATCTAGGTCGAAACTTTTGGCATCTGCTTAGTGACACACACGGACAGCAGACATTCTGCAAATGCATGAGAGGTGGCGAAGACACCATCTCTGCCCAGTTGCCAGGCATTTCCCCTGGCATGGTGGTGCCCTGCCTGGTTCGCATCGTAGTGCTGCTAGAATCTTGTATTCACAGGTGTGTGTTTGTTTGCAGATGTGACCAGCCTTGGCCTTGATAACCTGGTGATTTTCTTAGTCTCAAACTGTGTCTCAAACGGTCCTAGGGTCCCTGCAAAATGCACATCTGCCTTTCTTCGCAAACTCTTCACCCTGTCTGCCTCCCACTTCCAGCCATGTGCATGGAGCTTTATGTCAAAATCCAAATGAGACCATCTCTTGCCCCAAAGTTAGAGTCCAGTGGCACCTTTAAGACCAACAAAGTTTTATTCAAGGTGTAGCTTTCGTGTGCATGCATACTTCGTGCACACGAAAGCTCACACCTTGAATAAACCTTTGTTGGTCTTAAAGGTGCCACTGGACTCTGTTGTATTGCTTCAGATGAACATGGCTGCCCACCTTGATCAAAGTCTGACAGAGTGAGGGAACAGGCAAAAAGGATACAAGGGAAAGGAGGCTAATCTGATTATCTTTTCAGATGATTTTAAGGGTTTATCTGATTATTTTTTCAGATGATTTTAAGGGTTTCTTTGAAAGATTTATGTCCCTTCTTTCAGCTGTACGCAGCTTATAAACAAACAATGATATGTGATTTTTTTTTAAAACACCCTCTGCAGCACTTGAAAATCTGACCAATGGCTAGGGTTGCCACCCTCCAGGTGGTAGCTGGAGATTTCCTGGAATAACAACTGATCTCCAGGCAATAGAGATCAGTTCCCCTGGAGAAAGTGGCCACTTTGGAAGGTCGACTCTGTGACATTAGACCCCATTGAAGTCCCTCCCCAAACCCCACCCTCCTCAGGTTCCACTCCCAAAATCTCCACATATTTCCCCACCCACAGCCAGCAACCCTACCAGTGGCAAAGCCTAGGAAGTTCTTCCACTCACATCTGTGTTCCCTGGGCCCAGGAGCCTCTTTTGTGGAGAAAGGAAGATACTGCATATTTCTATTTAAATCTCTTCTGACTCAGTTTCCCTATTTTTCCTCCACCTTTTCTTGCTGGTTTGTTCTCTGGGACTTTCTATCTCGTGTGATTGTGAGTGAGTGAGAGAGAGAGAGAGAGAGAGAAGTGCCATTAAGTCACTTCTGACTAATGGCAAGCCTATGAATTAATGTCCTCCCAATCATTCTATTGTTAACAGCCTTGCTCGGGTCTTACAGATTGAGGGCCGTGGCTTCCTTGGTGGAGTCGATTCATTGCATGTGGGGTCTTCCTCTTTTCCTGCTGCCTTCAGCTTTTCCTAGCATTGTTGTGTTTCCCAGTGACTCTTGTCTTCTCATGATGTGACCAAAGTACGATAGCCTCAGTTTAGTCATTTTAGCTTCTAGGGAGAGTTCGGGCCTGATTTGGTCTAGAACCCACTTCTTTGTCTTTTTGGCAGGTCCACAGTATCTGCAAAACTCTCCTCTAACACCACATTTCAAATGAATCCGCTTTCTTCCTGTCAGCTTTCTTCATTGTCCAACTTTCACAATGAACTTTTGCATTTCACTTGTAGACCTTCAGAACTGAACCCAGAATTTCAGAAGAGCCAGTCAGGGCAAATGCATCCCAACTCCTGATGCATCCTTAATTGGCTCAGGAGCAGGAAATAGCCACTCTCTTTTGTTGTGGCTTTCTTCACACCGGGAAAAGTCTTACAGGTGATGGAAGCTCTGCTTATGTCTTTGGATCAATTTGCAAGCTCTGCTGACTTTTGCAAGATGGGCCCTGGGTCAAGTTGGCATGGAAGCCAGGCCCTTGGAACAGGGAGCTGCGCTCCCAAGATCTGACATGGGGAAGCTGTTGTTAGCAGTGTAGAAAAGGAACTCTGCATGGACTCAAGAGGTACCTCTGGATAACATGGCCCAGGACTTGGTCCTGGCACCCAATCTCTGACTAAGCAACTTTGGCTCTGTTCTGTCTTACTAAGTACAGTCAGCTCAAAATGCTTTGCAGAATTTCTTGTGTTTGCTGCTGTAACAAGTCATGCGAGGAAGGTTGTTCCCATTAAACAGATGGTAAACTGAGGCTAAGAGCAAATTGCCCAAGTAAGGAGACTGTATCACAAGCAGTTTGGTTGCAGCACTAATAATATTTAGCATCCGTAAAACACTTTGGAGTATGCAGAGTGTCTTTGCACCCCAAGTCCAGCGCTCTGCCTGCAAAGCCATTCTGTTCAGCACTGCCCCTCAGAGTATTTCAGATGTTTTCCCTGACCCTAAAGAACCATAAGAACAGAAGGGCAGCTAAGCAGGATCAGACCAGTGGTCCATCTAGCCCAGCATTCTGTTTCTCACAGTGGCCATTCAGATTCCCACAGAAGGCCATTATGCAGGGTTTGGAGAGATGTCCCCCACCATAGAATTCATCTCAATAATCCAACCATCCTGTTTGTGAGTTGCAACTGGGCTGCAAACTTGTAGCCAGCACTGGAAGGAGAGCGGTGAAGTTTACCATCTCACACTGTGATAGAATTTTGCACCTAAAGGGGAAAGATGGAGGCCCCGGTCATACTGGGGGAAAAGGTGCGGCTGAAGTGCGGCTTTTTTGAGCCGCATCAAAAGAGAAGCGCGGCGGCGGGATCAGACAGGTCCCCCGAGTTGCCGGGCAGTTGCTCCCCGGCATGATCAGATGCCGGGGGAAGCCACAGATCGGTGAGCGAGGAGAGACCACTGCACATGTGTGCGCCTGCGCAGTTTGGCAGGAAACCTCACATGCTGCAGGAGACAGGCGTGCCGGCAATCACACGGCCGCCCCTGCTGTGGATTTTCTGGTAAGTAGTAGTGTTTTGTAGGGGTTTTTTAAAATCCGCATCTTCGGACGGAAGAGACGGATCAGAGACGGGTGCGCACCGCTTCCCAGATGTTGCGGTGTGATCGCGCCTGCTTGATGCGCCCCCGATCCGTCCCTCTCACGGATCAAAGCCTCCCGTGTGACCGGGGCCAGAGACAGCCAAATGGCAATCTTCCTCTTAGCAGCAGGAAGATCAGAACCTTAGGGAGAGATGGACTTTCCCAAGGGGAGATTATAATTTCCTAGGACATGGAAAGAAACTCTCTTTCATCTTGCTTTTTCTCCTAGAATGGGCATAAGCCATGAAGGCCTAAACTTTTATCTAGGGATTCCATCTTGCCATCATGGTGAGGGACAATAGAGAGAAATCCCAACTCTGTGTACTAATGTAACACTGAATTTAAAAACTACTGAAATTTCAAGTAAAGCTAGCATGTCCTAATTCAACATTGTTTAGGATAAGTACTGAGTGTGGAAAGAAGAAGAAGAAGAGATTGGATTTATACCCCGCCCTTCACTTGGAGTCTCAGAGTGGCTTACAAACTCCTTTCCCTTCCCCTCCCCACAACAGACACCCTGTGAAGTAGGTGAGGCTGAGAGAGCTCTTTCAAGAACTGCCCTTTAAAGAATCGCTCTTGTCAGAACTGTGGTTTGCCCAAGGTCATCCAGCAGCTGCAAGTGGAGGAGTGGGGAATCAAACCCAATTCTCCCAGATTAAAGTCTGCACACTTAACCACTATGCCAAACTGGAAAGGGGACCGTATCTTTTCATTTTTTCTTTGTACCCTTGCTCAGCCTGAATGCTTTAACAGACCATGTGTACTCTTTTTATCCATTTATTAAATTTCCTTCTATTTTGAATATTCATTATCTGATATCTTTACCCACACTGTACCTATTTGGTCTTTTAATCTGAAAATACTGTAATGGGGAGGGGCAGCAGGTAAGCAGATCCTCTAAACAGTACCACAGATACAGATTGCTAGATATGCATCTCCATCTAGCACAAGATCTATCAGAACTGCTAGTGGGAGGTGTTGATACCCGGTTTTTCTTAATCCTCCCCAAGCAAGGGAAAGGGGTGGTGTCACTAAGTGGACATTTGGGATGGCAACAGAGTTTTCTGGCCTCCCAGGGACCTGAAGGAACAGGGGCTTGTGAGTCCTTTCCTTCACACAGTGCATGGAGCCCAAAACTTCCCCCTGCTGCCCCCGGAGTATGCTGCTTCTTGAACATGGAGGTGTCATTTAGCCATTTTCGACATAGAAGGAAGGGATAGACAAATTCATGGATTTGTCTAGCCCTTTCTTTTAAAGCCAGCTAAAGCCATTTCCATGTCATGTGACAGTGAGTTCCATATAATATCTGTGCATGCTGTGAAACAGTACTTGCTTTTGTTGTCCTGAATCCATGGCCTTTCAAGTTCTAGTATTTGAGAAATCGGAGGAAAAGTTCTTTTTCTCTGCTCCATTCATAATGTCTGTAAACCTCGACCATGTTCTCCCTTAGTCATCTTTTTTGAAAATTAAAAACAAACTCCTTAGCTTTTCCTCATCTGGGAGATGCTCTTTTAATTGTTTTGGCTGCCCTTTTCAGTTTCTTTTCCCAATGCTACCAGTACCCTTATTACAAACTATATTCAAAAAAATGCACCATCAATGTATGCAAGAAAATTATGATATTGGCTCTTATTTTCAGTTCTTTTTCTATTAATTCTAGCCTGGAATTTGCCTTTCACTACTGCTGCACTGAGTCAGCATTTTTGAAGTTTAAGTGTATAATAGCTACCAGATCATGCCTTTTTTGCATACTTGATTAACCTTCTTAAAGAACTCCAAAAAGACTGGTGAGGCAGGATCTCCCTCTCTAGAAGCCATGCCGAGTTTTCCTCACTAGGGCTTGTTCCTCTACTATGTGCTTAATACTTCTGATTAGGCAAACTAGTCTTCAGTTTCTTGGCTCCCCCTTTCAATGCCTTTTTAAAAATCAGCTTTATGTTTGCTACTTTCCTATCCTTTAGTGGTGAGGATGATTTCAGTAACAAGCTATTTTTTAAAGAAGAGCCACATTTTCACAGTGGAGTTCTTTAAAGCCATGAGGTGTATGCCAGCAGGACCTGATGACTTTTTAGTTTCCCATTGTTCTGCTCTGGAACCTCGTCACTTGGCACCTCCATTTGAGTTAGTGCTTCAGACACCCTCTCTGAAACAAGCCGTTTACTGTCTTGGGTAACTCTCTAGCCTCTTCAAACTATTATGTTCCTGTGCCATTTTCCTCTCATCCTTCCATTGCTTTGGCACCTCGATCCTTCCAGTATGGTTCCCACACTAGATCATGGCCTCACTCCCACCAGGGACTCCATGAAGTCCCTGCAGCCTGCTATAAATAGCTGTGACCTGAGAGACTGGCCAGTGGTGCCAGAAAGGGAAGGGAGAGAGGAAGGGGAAACATCCGGTCTCCAAACAGAAAATCATCTTCCCACTGCTGAGGATGCGTCCGTTCCCTTACCGAGTGACAGGAAGTGTATTCGTGGGGGAGGGGAGCTCACTGTGACTCAGTTCAGGAGGGGGATGTGCTGCTGTAGCCTTAGGACCGGGCTGCGTTGCATTATGGGGTAGTGCACAGGGGCAGGGGGGGGACTGCCCCTGGATGTGAGAACGGCCCACTCCGCCATGAATCTCAAGGGGGTAGCCCTGGTTAAGTCTTCCTTTCTGCCTGCTTTCGTTCTTTCAGTATTATTAAATGAAGTGGGAGGTTTTAAAGCCCTTGGCCAGCTCAAGCAAGTCCTAGGAAGGGCCAAGCAGTGAGGGAGTTGCAGGGCTGGGTGTCCCTACCCTCTTGTACTTCCTGGGATGACTGTCACAGGGTTTTCTGGCTTGGTTGGTTCTCCTCTCTGAGAGTCCCATGACAGGCCCCAAGGGCGTTCAGAGAGCCAAGCTGGTTAAAGGAGGCACCCAGTTCCATTCAAAGCTCCTTTATTGCTAGCTTTTAACCATCTCAGCAGTGAGTACAAAGGGGGCATTTATTGCGTCTTGGTTAGCCCTTCACACACTAAAATATTAGGGATGTAAACTATACAGTTCCTCCTTTTAGAGAATTTTAGATCCCAAATGGATGTGTTATTTTAACCTTTCTCCGAGGTCTTTCAGACCATAAACACTCTTTGTTTTGAAGACCAAAAATGGCAAAAATGGTGGGCGGTGGGGGGAGAAGGCACTCTGTGTGAATAAGGAACTAGTGCTGGTTTTCTGAACAGGGCTGGGGAGGGTTTATTTGGGGAGCTCCTCATCCCTCTGGAGAAGGCCCATATCTGTGGACTGAGGCAAAAGTTGCCTTTTCCTAAGATGATTTCCTTGTTGTCTCCCAGGTGCTGCTGAAGAAGTCACCATGGAAACACACAAAGAGGAGATGGAACTCTTGAGCAACAGCATGGCGGCCTACGCGCACATCCGAGGTGGGTGTGTAAAATGGGGTTCTGTGGAAGTCGTGGTGTACCACCAGGCAGGGTTGATGGGCTTGGTATGGATCATCTTGATTGCACTTCCATGCACTGGCTACCTCTTCCATTCCAGGAAACACCTCCAAGGGTGTCCGAGGGTGCTGCCTCAAGGCCCCTCAGCTCATGTATATGTGACTTCCTTCCTCGTGATAGACACTCAAAGTGGCCAGTAATGTCATCATGTAAGGTTGGGAAGATGCTCATGAGCTAGACCTGTGTCTGTGTGAATGAGATCCCCTGTCTTTCATTGTGAAGAAGCCTGCGTGTAAAGGAAGAAACTTTCTTTCAACAGACTTTCACTCCTATTCTGACAGGAGCAGCGGACTTAGGTTTTTTACCCAGCCTGTGGCAACAGTGACACAAATGCACCCCATAGAGATATTTTGGCTGAGAAGTGGGGTTCTTGGGCAAGCTTGAAAGAAAGACTCAGAAATACTGAAAAACAAGACTAACGTTTATTGAGGTGAATGAGCAGTGCACTGAAGCCATCAAAATAATATCAAGCACCAAATACCCAAGACCATGAAAGGGAGTCCAGGAATTAGAGGTGGAGAAAGCAGGAGGGGAAAATGGAGGCGTAGGGGCACATGTCCACACAGAAGCCCAGTGGGGATTCCTCTGGAGAACTTTCCAAATGTCTAGGCATCCAGTAGGACCTTGTAACTACTCAAAACAGGAGCCAGCCATAGGGAGTGCTTGTTGGCATTGGAGGCAAGCAAAATCCAAGTAAAGATCCAAGGGGGTCAGAGACTAAAAAGGCATGTGGAGTCAGCCATGCAACACAGGGCTCAGCACTGTGAGGGAGCTGAATGGCAAGGCCAAGGAGGCAGAGCAGAGCACAACATGGGGAAGAATTCTGGCATCAATTATAGGACTCTGAATTGAACAAGGTACAAAAGATTTGGTTTTCCAAGACTTGGGGGAAAGGAGGAGAATCCAGGTGAACTCAGAGGGAAGGTTCCTGATATTGGTGAGAGGTGTGGCAAGGGGCGTTCCCATGTTTTGAGCATTTCTTCAAATAAGAAAAGGAAGGGAAGTCCCTGGGTGGGTGGAAGGCATGTTGGAGGCAGTCTTGGTAACCTAACTGGACTGTGGAAGTGCATGCTAACTGTCCAGTCCTGTGAGAAGAAAACCTTACCAGTTGAAAGTGGTGATATTACCTGAGTCCTTTGCTAAGAAGGAAATGTGAACGTAATGCAAGTCTTTGATTAATTAATTATCAAGAAGTTCTGCTTAAGAAGAAAGAAGTTTTAAGATGCTGAAAGACTTGATGCTTGGGGGGGGGGATCCTTATTTCTCTGGGCTGTTGTGGTTTCCAGTGAGTCCTGATAAGAAACAGACTGGGTGATCTCTGGTCCAGCTCCATCTCACTCTTTTTTTCTGCAAAGGGCCCGAAACAACATTTCATGGGTCCTGTGTGTTCCTGAATGGCAGAGCTTAAGGAGATAAAGAGGGCAGGAAAGAGAGAGGCCAGCAAGGAAGGGGGGGGGGGGGGGACAGTCACTGGTGTCAGTACAGCATCTTCCCCTCTGGAGGGTTTCCAGCTACCTTTCCCAAGCTCATCTGCTATTCCTTGGCAAGCCCTTTCCCACCAGGTCAGGGCATTAACAAACAATACTAAACTGCAGCCTCAGGCCACAGGTCCCACAGAAAAAGCCTTTTCCAAAGATAGGTTCTTTTCCATTAGAGGGGACAGCAGTCAGTTGCCCGCCATTTGAAAGCCACAACTGAACCTTTGCGCCGGACCTTATTCCAACTCCAGGCCCACCTAGGGTTGCCAGCCTCCAGGTGGGCCTTGAGATCTGGGATTACAACTATGTCTCCAGACAACAGAGATAGTTCGCCTAGAGAAAATGGCTGCTTTGGAAGGTGGTCTCTGTAGCATTATAGCCCAATGAAGTCCCTCCCCCAAATCCTGCCCACCTCAGGCTGCATCCCCAAAATCTCCAGGTATTTCCCAACCTGGAACTGGCAACCCTAGGCCTTCCCCACAGAGTACCACCCAGTCTAGAAGCAGACTGTTCTCTCTGAAACGCTGGTTTGGACTGGTGCTTTGCCGAATTCTGCTCTGGGATGATGCAAAAACTCAGTTCAGTAATTAAGTCCCATAGGCCCAGCTGCTCTGTGGTGTTCTGATCCAAATAGGCATGGATGTAAGGGAGGCTGGGCAGACCCAGGGCCCAAAGACGTTGGCTGTCCCAGACTGGTTCTTCCCATTTGCCCTCTTCCCCAGAAGGAGAGGAACTCCTCAGAGGACTGGGGGCAGCAACCAACCTCTGAGGCACAGCCCAGAGTGGTAGATTTTAGACAGGACTGGCAAGACCCTGTACCGGGCCTGGATGGGGGTGGCAGACTCCCCGAGAGGGAGGCTTCTGGCGGTCATAAGCTGAGCAGGCCTAAGATATTCCAGCTCTGCTGAGGGTGAAGAGGAGCCTGGTCGTGGCTGAGGAGCTTCTCTCTGTCCCTACCAGGGTGCTGCCACGCAGGAGACAGCATTTAAGGACCAGGCCAAGCTTTCCAATTACCTCAGTAAACTAAAGAAACAATACATGGAGGCAGCGGTCATGATTTGAGAAGGGGGAGGTCTTGTGTGGTATCTCTGCATGGAAAAAGTAAATACTGACTTCGTGTTTCCCCCCCCCCTTTAAAATTGAGTTTCATTTCAGACCCCATTGTTCTTTGTTATGTTTTGGCCAAGGGTATCCCACCAACATCAGGAACCAGGCAGCTCCAGAATCCCAAATGCAGCAGGAAGCAACTCATGTGGGTGTAGGATTGCCAGCTACAGGTTGGGAACTTCCTGGACATCTGAGGGAGTATTGCCTGGGAAGGGCAGGTTTTTGGGGAGAGGAGGGACCTCAGCATGGTATAACGCAATACAGTCCACCCTCCAAAGCAGCCATTTTCTTCAGGGGGACTGATGTCTCTGGTGATCAGTTGTAAGATGTCCAGACCCTACCCGGAGGTCCCAACCCAGTGCTGGCAACCCTAGGTGTGGGACAGAAAGTGGTTGGATCCAATAATGGTCCCCTGATGAAGAAACATTTCAAGTCTGGGACCAGCCACTAAGGAACTATTGCCCACGTCCGCAAAGGACCTCAGTGGGGTATAATGCCATAGAGTCCACTTTCCAGAGCAGCCATTTTCACCAGAGGGACTGATCTCTGTTGTCTGGAAATCAGTTGTTATTCTGGGAGATGTCCAGGACCACCCTGGAGGTTGGCAACCCTACGGCCATACCAGCTCTTTGGGGCACACCCCCCCTCCATTCAGCCATCATTTCTGACTGTTCTGTCTCACTTCCCCCCAGATCACCCCGAGAGCTTCGGGCTGTACTTCGTGCTGGGCGTTTGCTTTGGGCTGGTGTTAACCCTTTGCATGTTGGTCATCCACATCTCATGGCAGCCGCACGTGATCCCAGCTAGGTCCCGCAAAAGCCTGCGGGAATTCAACGAGGAGGATGAAGATGACGACGAGGAAGAGGAGGAGGAAGACACTGTGGACCATACCGCTTCTGAACCCCCCTTGTCCATGACTGAGCTCCCTCTGGAGCCTCACGGCACACCTGACAGCACCCTTGCAGTCAACGTCTTCGCCTCAGCGGAAGAGCTGGAACGGGCCCAAAAAAAAAAGCGTGAGCGGATCCTCCGGGAGATCTGGCGCAATGGGCAGCCTGACATCCTGGGGACGGGTACTGGGACCATTGGCAGAGTCCACTACTATTAACCGTGCAATCGGTTGACCTCCAAACTCAGGCAGAGTGGACAACTAAGGGGGGGGGGGGTCTGTCTGGCCTGTTGGAGCTCTTTGTATTTCCTGAACAGATTGGGGAGAGCAGCAGAAATGAGCCAGTCTCAACTGCTTGCCAGGACTTATCTCAGAACTACCTGAGGGGCAGCTGGATTGGGGGGGATGTTTGAGGGGAGGGGTTACTGGTGCACGGGGGGGGTCAGTAACCAGTATTTTTGCCCAACAGCAAAAGGGACCCTAAAGGACAATTGTTGACCAGCTTCAAGCTAAGCTCCTCCCAGAGGAACAGGGCCAGCATCAACAGTGCTGTTGGGAAAGGGGGCTGCAGGCAGTGGTGAGCCTGGGCCCCGTGGGAGAGCTCCCAAGCAGGCAGGGGGGCTCTCATTCAAAACTTACCTCTTTTCCCTAGTGGGGAGGGGGTATGTGTGGGAGATTATCACTACGTGGTGCTGCTGCTTCTGGTCCTTATCCCCCCCCCTCAATTTGTCTTACAGATTCCAGGGGAGGGGGGAACCAGCCCACAGAAGCACTCATTCTCAGGCTCCTCAGCCCACTTGCTCCTGGCCATGCTGTCAGGCAAAGCATTGGGATACAGGGCATAGTCCAGTCTGGACCGAAGGACTCACTCCACTGTGTCTGCAAGGCTGGCATGGCTCTGTGGGCGTTTGCATGTATGTGCTGGTGGGTGGGTGGGGGGACACAGCCATCTGGGCCCGCTGCCCTCCTATGCCAGCCAATTTCCTTGTGCTTCCTTTCCTGTCACAAACCATGATAGAACAAAGTTTGAGCCCAGTGGCACCTTTAAGACCCACAAAATTTTATTCAGTAAATTGAATAAAATTTTGTTGGTCTTGAAGGTGCCACTGGATTCAAACTTTGTTCTGCCGCTTCAAACCAACACAGCTACCCTCCTGAACAAACCGTGGTGAGCAGAGAGGGGGGGGGAGTGGTGCTGTGTATTTTTCCCCTAACAATCCATTTTTTTACCCTTCCAGATGACTTGGGGGGGGGGGCATCACTCCCCCCTCTTTGCTTTTCCCCAGAGAAGCTTTGTTTGCAGGGGGGGAAGGATGCCCACATGTCATTTGGTGAATTTCCTCCCCCCTTTACCCACCAGGGTTGCAAATAAAAGGCTTAGAATTAATTTTTTTTATTTAGGAAAGCCACTAACCCTTTCCTTCCCCAAAAAGGCCAAGGGGAGGGGGTGTGGGATAATGGTTCTTCAGGACAAGGGATGGAAAATTGTGCCTCCCCCCACCC